ATAACAGTTAATACTGTTGCAGTAAAATTCCCGTTGTGAACGGAGAAGTTTCTTGGCTCTCTCGTGCGCGTCAGCGGCAAGTCACCAGTATTATATTTTCCATTTCGCAGGGAAAAACGAAAAATGGTCGTCGATTCATGAAGGTGCACCCTAAGACAAGATTAGAGCCAGGCAGTTTGTATTCACGCCATTTTTTTTGCCGTTAGGCTCTTCAGGAAGTGTTGAAAAGTCGACCTCGACGACCTTCTCTCCTCTCGAGATGCAGGCGACAAATCTCGTTTCAGAGCTCGCAATTCCGCGGATGTGGCACGGCTGGATCAGCGGGATGTGGTCACCATCAACCCGATTGTGACCGCATCCGGATGAGCCAAAGGATCACAAAGAAACGTTTTCGAACACATTTATGAAGACGGTCCCTCCTCGAGGGAATCCCTGGGGATTCCGAATGGATGCCCCAGCGAGACATCCTCGAGGACTGGAGGGCATCAGCTACTCGTGTATTAATTTCCTCAGTTTGTCCTCTTTCTCTCACCGCAAGAGATGAAACGAGGGGAGCAGCTGCGACTTAAAGACAGATGCACTAGTACCTCATCATCTTCTCGTTCGGGTGTCTCATTACGTCGTACTAGTACCTCATTAACTTCTCGTACTGGTACCTCATTATCTTTTCGTACTAGTACTTCATTATCTTCTCGTACTGGTACCTCATCATCTTCTCGTTCTGTTAGCGAGTGACGCGGACGTAGATGAGAGTCTTCTCGGATTTGAAATGCATTTCTTCTCGCGGCTCTTTCCTCGCGGGACATTCCCTTCGTCTCTCGCCGAGATGATTGGACTTTCGATTGCATCGACACGTGGTTGTGAGGATGCTGTGAGAAATGTCTGGGGGAATGATTTTCTTCGGAGTGCGGTGGGGGGGAGGAGGGGGGGGAGAGGGGGGGGGGAAGTCTTGCTGGTTGATGAAACATAAAATAATCCGAGAGTTATGCAGGGGTGTCCAAACATGAATAAATTCAGAAGCTGGACTTCTCCGCGTCAGGGGATTAGATCCCATTTTTGGCGCGAATCCAATTTTCCCTGCGATTTCTCTTCAGCACCCTGAAGAAACGCGTTCGTTAGAATCGTTCACGCCGCGCTGCGAGGAACGGCACGGAATAAAACGCGAGGCGTTTTGCGCACGTCGTCGGCAGTCGCGCTCTCGTCGATCCTCGATTTTTCAGAAAGATGGCGCCCGAAAGACTGCCGAAAATAGAACAAAAAAGCAGAGCCTTTGTCCTGAACGGTATCCTCGGCTTCTCGAGCGTGTTATTTCGTCTCTACAGCTCGAAGCGTCATGCATGGAATGCGCGCTCGTTATAGGTAAACACGACAGGTGGCGTTACCGTCGCCTACGATCGGCAAACTTAAAGCAACGTGCTGATGAGGTTCTCACGAAAGGTGCTGGTTATTAAGAAATTCATGAAGGCATGAAAAGTGCGATGCATGAAACGTCAATCGTTCGTGGAGAAAATGTACGAAAATAGATGGAGAAAATGCTGGGAAAGTTGCGAAACGAGGATCCAAAAAGGAAGAATGGGGGAAATGCAGCATCTGCGAAGAGAGGAAAGGCAAAGAAAGGCAAAGAAAGGCAAAGAAAGGCGAGGAAAGGCAAAGAAAGGCGAGGAAAGGCAAGGAAAGGCGAGGAGACTCATCGGATGGGATCCGAGAATCTCGGCGGGGAGTTTTGGATGAATTTGTTCGCGACGGTTTCGTCGCGAAATTTCGCTTCGGTGTCGCCTTCGCGTCGCGGCGTGCGAGCTGGGGCGGCCCGCTCGGAGGCCGGGTGACGTCGTCCCGTGACGTCACGGAATGACGTCATCTGCCTCATCGATCTCGCGGCGGCTAACAATGGCAATGGGGAAGCGTCGCGAGTGCATATGCAGATGAAGGAAACGTTTTCTTCGTCGCGATCTTTGAAGTAGTGGATCGTGAACTCGTCATCGTGAGATGAGATCAGAGATGAGATCAGAGATGAGATCAGAGATGAAATGATAAATGTGCCGAGGAAAAGATACCGAAACGTGCTAATTGATAAGGTCTTCGAGTTTTAATGAAGTCGTTATTTACCGATTTGCAGCCGCGGTTTCGTCTTTTTAGATTTTTGCACGATTTTTACCGACTCTTGCAGTTCGGTGGTTCGAGCCTTTAGAGACTCTCCGGGACTTTTCTCACGACTATTCTCGTGACTATTCTCACGGCTTTTCTCGTGACTTTTCTCATGGATTTTCTCGCGGCTTTTAGTGTTTTGGGCTTGGGACCGTCTCTCACTTCGTTCATCGTTCTGGGAACGGAACGCTGTTCCCGGCGTGTCTCCGCCGATTTACTTCCATCCTCAATATCGTTTTTTTTTTTAATTCTCTTTATTTTGTTGGGATTTTCTCGGCGCGGAGTCGATCCCCGTCGGCTGAAAGCAGAAGATGGAATCTCTTCTCGGTTCTTTCAAAAGTCGCTTCTTCCTTGGTTCCCACGAGTCTTTCGGATCTTCCGAAGTGGAACGCACTCGGTGCCATTTTTTATAATCTCTCTTAATCGTTCGGGTGACTCCGGAAATGTCGTCGGGACCGAATGAAAGCCTGGAAAAAGATAATTACGCTTCCGATTCCCTTTCCGAGTAGTCGCTTTGATTTAAGCAGCGTTTGAAAATTGAATACTGGCCGAATTACTTGCATCTGCGTGGCACCCTGATGCCTGTCGAGCAAGGTCAAGGTCAAGGTCACGTAGTGGTTTCGGAAGGTCATACCTTCGACTGTTGTACAAATAATTTAAATCCATATCATGGGTTTATTTCTGCTAAAAGTGAATTTCAAATACGATTTGTTCTGAGATATAAAAAAAACTACTTACGAATGCGATCGTTTCTATTATTTCTATTATTCCTTATATGTGGCGTGAATGTCGCTGGCCACTTTAACGAACACAAAACCGAAAGACAGAGTGGTTATAAAGTCTTGCAATCACTTTCGAGAAGAATACTCCATAACAGCGCGTCTGATTCACACGAAATTCACAGGGTCGCATGGAGTCACGAGGATGCGAATGCAGTAGCGAAAACGGGAAAACACACGGCCACATCTCTTCAACGCTCCGATCGAGAACGGAATCGAGACGCGCTATGACGGTGCAAACTGCCGACGTCAGCATGGCCTTGGGAATGCGGAGTTCCGTGCAAGAGCAGACGACGCTGGCGCTTCCTGATTGGCTGTTGACGGCGAGCCGTCGAGTTCGGGGAAACGATGCCACGTGATACCGTGCTCAACGATGGCCTCGCGTCTCCTTCCTTTATCTCGAAAAAGTTTTGGTTTACAAAAAATTCTGCCCGAAAAATATTCGTAGTTCTGAGTCTGCCCTAACCAGTGGTATAATTTTGGGGGGGCTTTTTGACCATATTTAAATGAGATAAACGCATGCAAAGGATAATACCTCTATCATGAGATAATACCCCGTTCCATCAGACGCCGTCATTCTCTCCCCTAAATCTCGACGATGACACGCTTCACGAAAATCACTTTTTGACAAGATTCGTAGTCTAGATTCCACCCTAACCGGTGGTATATATGTTGAAGCTGTGCGCTCTGAGTCCATTCTGGTCTGCGTATACGTTTCTTTACTATTTTTTTCAGATGTTTTATGTGTATTATGTATCTGTTAGGAAATGAACGGTGAACACCTTTTAAAGGACTCGATAATGCATGACATAGTTTGGGTGGAGAGTGATGGCTTTTTCAGCACGCCCGGTGCGAGGTTATCATCAATTTTCAGAATGAATATCATTGCCATACCTTCTGGAAGAGTATCCATGAATCATCATAACAACCCGAGCCTTCATCGCTTACATCATCGACACGTGGAAGACCCCCAACGAAGAAAATGCGGCTCAGCTCAACGAAACGGGGATTGGGTGCCAAGGTTGCCAGACACGTGCGGCAGGGCCAAGGTTGCCAGACACTTGCGGCGATGGAGTCTGCACGGTCTCGTTTATTTGGTTCATGCGTCGTGTCTGTTCCTTTCTGCAAGTTTCCATTCGAGTTGGCTCCTCTGGGTCGGTCTACTTCACCTTGAAATTAATGTCTGGGCGATTCCGAAAGAATTTCTCTCCAACTCTCCAGTTTACTTAACCCTTATCCGGGCAAGGGGGGGGGGGGGGGAGAGGTCCAATGGTATATTTCATTTCATTACTCTCCGCAATTTTTTCAAAATATTATTCAAATTTGATATGAATTTCGTAGACAGTCGTCCATAGATTCAAAAACTAATTTTTAAAGTTTGGATTTGCTTTTAAGGAAAAAATTCTAAAAATGATTGGCCTTGCCCGTTTGTGTCATAAAAATACCTTGCCCAAATAAGGGTTAACATGATTATTAATTGGTCGTTCATGTTAAGTAAACCGATCCCGAGTTGCTGCATTTCATCATATCCGTGTCGGTATGGAGTTGCCATCGCAACCCTAGGTATGCCGGACCTCTTGTTAGACATTCGAACCACCATGCCCACATACATACCCTGTTATTACTATTAATAGATATCACTATTAACTCTTTGGGGTCCACGCCCGAGTTATCTCGTGTTGACCTCATGAGGGATGGAAAAAACTTGGATGACTGCTGAATAGGTTAATTCATGAAAAAATTGTTCTAGCAGGATTCCAAACTTTCTTGCATTTGCGAACTTGAATGGAAAACCTTGAAATTGGGGTTTCTGAACGGAAAATGCTGGGTTCATCAGCCTCACGGGCTGATGTGGAGCTACTTCCACTATCGCACAGGAATCAATAAAAACAAGTTGGAATTTCCTCCAAGCAAACTTTAATCCCTCAACACATGACCTATATTTTTCAGCAACATCAGAGGCAAAAATTCCTTTGCAATGGCCGAACATCTTCAACACCCTTTCCCCACTTCACAGGAGAGAGAGATTAAGACACAGAGACTGACAATAGCAAACAAAAAAAAGGAAAAATATAGAATGCCAGGTCTCTCTCGTGCATGCACACGTTCTCATCCAATCGCTGCCCGCTATACACTGAAAATCCGCGAGAGAACGAGGTGCCGGTGCCCCACGAGTCGGGGGGGAAGGAGACACCGAGGAGACACCTCATGCGTGCTCCTCGCTCGGAGACCAGACCGTATTGCTCGGTACATTTGGAGGCGAGAGGACGTGTGACTCGGAGATGTGAGGAACGATGGAAATCTGGACTCAAGTGCCGGAACTGCTATTTCCATCTTGTCTACCAAGAACGCGAGTGGTTCATGCCATTACAGTACACTTTTTAAGAAAGGAGAGAAAGAGGACGACCCTAACAACTCGGTTTTCCTTCATGGCTTTCCAGCCAGACCTCATTCATGCATGGAGAGAGGGGAGAGATTGTGTGTGTGTTTGTGTGTGTATGTGTCTGTTGTGACTCCATATGAATACAGTACAATGAAAAGATGGAAAAAAAAAGAAACGATAGGGAGAAAGAAAGGAAAGATAGAACAAAGTCATGAACGATGTAATGACAATCCGGGTCTCGAAACTTCTGGGGTGGGAGGGGGGGGGGGGGAAGTCGTCATCTCCGTCTGCCAATTGGCTCTCTTCTCACGCTTTTTCCGCCCTACATATGCTGCTGACTCCAGGAATTCCACACCTACCGCACAAGCACCAACAGTAATCCTCACAATACCTAAAAGAAACCCGACAATGTTGAGATCCGGCTCACCTGTGGTGATTTTTCGGGAACGTCCATACGGATGGAACTCCACAAGTCCGCTGGGTTCGGGCCGAGGTCTCCCACGCAAGAGCCCGTCGACCCGGTCGGGTTGAACGGGGCCATCATCGACTGGGGGATCCCATTCACCAGATTCAGCAGGTTCGCTCCAGACTAGATCGAAAAATATAATTCATGCATTCAAATTTTGATCGTCCAACGGTCCAGGGGAGCAGAGGGACAATTTATCTCAATCTCAACCAAATCTTTCATCTCCATCTTCCTCTTCGTATCATCCATCGAATTACAAATTCATTCTGAAGGCTGGTTGCTCAAAGTGGGCCAGATCCGTCGCATCACATATTTCGCATTAAAGTGTATAAAATGCAAGTAGGATTGTACTGTTTTGTTTTTTTTTTTTACTTCTCATTACGAAAGAGTTAAAAGAAAATTACTTCAATTTTTAGATCATGCGGCTTCCACCATTCCGAAACTTTCGACATCCTGCCCGGAGGGTATTAGGGTTTCAAGTAAGCTCACTCTTAATCACTTCAGAAACAAAGAGAAACTTCTTTGGAATTGTTCAATCAATCCCGTTGGATGGACGCTTCATTATTTAATTTTGCAAGTCCCTCTTTCATCACTTTATCCGGGAAACAATTTCAGAAGAACAACTTCTGCTCAGAGAAAACCCAATTAAAGTGACGGTATAGTATGGTTAAACTGGGGAAATCCGCTGTTACCCCACGCCCATTATTATATAAGAAAATCCGGCATATCTGTTGGGTGTTTATTTCCTGAATCATTAGGAGTTTGCGATATCCAGAGTTTTACATATATAAAGATATGCTAGACAAGGCCAAACTTGATCACCATACACTGCACTAGATCACCGGCCTCCCAAAAGTAGACTTTCAGGTTGAGGTGGGCTCTCCCTATGGAACTCCCTTCATCCACTTCAAGAGCAAGAGCTCCTTGAGTTAACCCTTTCAGTGTCAGGGGAACGCTGTATTGTCGTTTATAGCCTACGAATCGGCTGTGTGGCACTAAACGGGTCAAAGAGTGCTCAACTACACATATAATTCCTGGAGTCATGATCTGCAGAGTATGGAGATGAGTTGATTTTCTAATTTCCCATGACATAATTTCAATTACACTTGCTCATCTTCTGGCTTGCTTTGGACTCATTCCCCTCAAAAGTTTCTAAGAAAACATTCTCTGTTGCATTGTGGGCCAAAGGTAACTTGACACTTAACAGGTTTTTCCAGAGATATCCTGTTGTTGGCATCCGACTATAATCAGGATTAAATTAGTTAATTCACACTTACAGTAAGTCTACAATAAATAACTACATTTATGCATTAATAGACAGTTTTACAGACAGTTTAAGTATATTACCACTTGGATTCAACCATTCAAGTGTCAAGTTACTTTTTGGTCACTATATATACTTTATATCCACACCCAAGGTGTTAAAAAATAACTTCTCCATGAAGAAAACAAAGATAAATTGCAATGCTCACACATCCTCTTCAAAATCACTAGTGTATGGACTCTCAAATTTTTTTGAGTCCAAGACCTCCTACCATGAAGGCGAACAACTCAAGCCTTTGGATTTTTATGCAGTTGAAAATTGAGAGCAATCAAGTACAAAATCCAGAGGACTTGATGGGGTCTGCACATAATAGTGAATGCTGAAATACCATGTACAAATAAAAAATATATCGCCTTAAATAAACCAGGTTTACATTGGAAATCTGTGGCTCCTGCAACTTACTTAAAGGAAGAGATGGAAGAAGCTTTCCTGAGTAAAGACTGTACATTTCAGGCTATACTTTTTTTTTACTGTTTCACTATTGTTGTCATCCTTATCCAGCATGGTCAACCAAGTCTATTAGCATTAACCAAAAAACATGTAAAAATGTAAGTAAGCATCACATCAGAACTCTGTAGCATGAGTAGTTCCACTTTCATGTGATTTTCAACTAAGTTTGACAATGGTATTAAAGAAGGTGAGAGCCTCACCTGCTCCAGTTGCTGCTGAAGGGCATCTAGCTGTGAGAGGTTCTCAGCAACTTCAGGATTGTCGCTGTTCAGGATGAGAGAGGCATGTGGGCCAATGTTTCCAAGCCAATCCCCAGGAGAAAGATCATTCGTGTTCCACAGGGGACGACCAGTCACTCCACCATCGTGATGGATCATTGGCTTCCGCATGGCACGCTCGTTGCCGATCGGAGGTGGGAACCTCCTCTCTTCATTCTCATGAGACATCATGGATCGAAAAGGAGCCACATCTGGAGGCCTCACCATAGGAGAGTAATATGGAGGGAAACGGGGTGGACCTGCTGCTCCAGTCCCACCAAAGTGGGACATCTTGGTAGAGAAGTCAGGAGCATTGGGGTTAAGCTTGCTGACGGCATGAGGGGGAAGCTGGTATGCCGCAGGTGGAGGCGGCGGGGGACGATGGGTTGTGGGCGGGATCATCACATTCGGAGGCAAAACGGGACGGGAATTAATGGTGGAGTAGCTGACGCTGGGCTCTGACGAGAGACCTGTCTGCGGAGGCGGACGTGAGTCGCTCAGGCTCGGAGGAGGCAACTGCGGAGGATTGTGGAACTGTGGAGCAAATGAGACTGGACCACCAGGAGCGAGACTAGATGACACCACAGGTCCACCAGGTGCCAGGTTTCCTGTCGATGCGCTCCCTGGACTCGACTGTTGTGAGTGGGATCCTGAGTGGGAAGATCCGGGGGCATTGGTGCCATCAACCAGCTGGCCAAGTGTGGGTGGAGGAGTGACTGTGGGTCGATGAATCATCCCTGATATTGAAGGTGGGAGTCCGATGGGGCCAAGGGTATTGGAGAGAGGGGCAGAGCCTAATCCAGTGCCTGAGGCATGTGGAATACCTGGAGCACTGGTAGGACGGGATGGAGTGAACTCAGATGAGGACGCAGATGATGCTGATGGTGGTGGGATAAGAGGCATTCCAGGAACATGCTTACTCCCAGGAGACATCTGAAGGGTTGAAGAAGAACCACGGTAACCAGGTGCCTTGCTGGCATCCACCTGTGAATGAATAAAAATATATATACAATAACACCAAAGATAGGCATATCATGCCATTCATGTGCAATTGTTAAAATGCAACAAGAATGGTGACATGACTACATCATCAACAAGGAGCAAACCTGTGGAGCTGAAGTTTCTGCAACAGAGGCTATGGAGCTGAGGAGACCCCCAAGAACAGGGGAAGGATTGGCAATGGAAGTTACACCAGTAGCAGCCACTGAAGCAAAGTCCATCCCCTTCCCTCCTGAGGATTCTCGCTTCATTTCATGTCCACCCCACATGGACTGTCCTGCCACCTGTCCACAACATACATGGGACTATATTTTCCAAACTGATTATATGTAATCATACAGTACTGGAGGGCTGTGAAAAATGTTCAAACACAAAATTACTGACTGACATATCCAATAGCTATCACATTCTGAGCCCTAAAATAGTTGGAAATAACAAGCAAGTTGTAACAAAAATATGCTTAAAAACCAGACACAAACCTTGCTGAAGAAGTTGTTGAACGGTGAGTACTCGCCCGGTGTGGCAGAAGTGGGACCATTCATTGTCACTCCATTGGATGGAAGAGAACTGGGCCGAGGCTCAGAAAACTGCTGATGATACCCTGTGCTTGCCACAGAAGATGGGATGGGAGCTGCAGACACAGAGGTGGTTGCTGTCAATGCTGTCCCCATCTTCCCCTTACTTCCAACCACAGGATTTGCAAAGGAGACTGGTGTCTTGACTCCTGTTGGAACAGTCTTCTTTTCTGGTGACATTAAGTTTGTAGTGGCAGCAATGGTAGTGGCAGGGGGGAAAAACTGGGCTGGAACTTGGGGCTTGGCTGTGGTGGGGTTCAGTCTGGGAATTCCAGCACCTGGGATAGGTCCCCGTTTGGGAGATCCTGGGGGATTCCCAACCCAGGTGCTCACATTCATTAGGGATGGGGCATTGGCAGCAGCTGTGGCCTTGGATGATCCTCCTCCACCACGAGACTTCCCTGATCCACCTTTAGATCCAGATGCTCCAGATGCCTTAGAAGAGACCATTGATCCCAGAGGAATTTTGAGTGACTTGGGCAGGAGTTCTGACAATTCTTTGTCTGGATTGTTGATCAGAGCCTGGATGAGGGTCACGGCCTGCTTTGTGGCATCAGGAGATCCCTTGATACTGATGGTTCGGTCAGCTTGGGTTTTTCCTTGCTTCTCAACCTCAATATGCGCACCAGAAACCTCTCGTATCATGTTGATGTTACACCCACCACGCCCAATCACACGGCTGATTGCATTAGCAGGCACCAGCACCTTCTTTGTCTTGCACATGCTCCGCACCACCTCCCGCCACCCTTCCTCCCTGGGTTTGTTGTTGCTAGAGGTGTTGTTGGCGTTCAAGTGAAGCGAGTTATCCTTCTTGGATGAGATGGTCAAGTCAGCAGTGGCATTGGTGAGATGCTCAACCTCAGGCTCTCTTTCCTTCTCCTTCTCCCTGTCTCTCCTGCCCTTGATAGGGCTCTCATCATGCACCAAAGTGGGAACTTCAGCAACAGCAGCATCCCGCTTGCGACGGCCCCCTCCCTTCTCTGGAGTTATAGTGTCCTTTCTCCTTGCCTCATCCTTTCGATGCTTGGGTTCAGACACAGGCGAATACTCCTTTCGCTCCACTTCTCTCTGCTTTTCCCTTTCTTTTTCCTTTTCCCTTTCTTTCTCCTTCTCTTTCTCTTTTTCCTTCTCCTTCTCTCTCTCCCTTTCCTTTTCCCTCTCTTTTTCCCTCTCCCTCTCCTTCTCCCTTTCCATTTCCCTTTCCCGTTCCCTGTCCTTTTCTCTCTCCTTCTCCTTCTCTTTTTCCTTTTCCTTTTCCCTCTCCCTCTCCCTGTCCTTCTCTCTGTCTCTGCGGGATTTTCCAGCCCGACTCTTGCGGGGCTCAGTCACTGGGTTCAATTGTGTCCCGCTGCTGTCTTGGGTCATGTCTTCAATGGAGTATTTTCCATTCAGCTTTGCTTCACTGGGTTTAATTTCTGGGATGCCTGGTAGATCCTCCATCTCCCCATCCAAGTTTGGCATTTTGTCTGAAAGTGAAACAAATATAATGTAGAGTTACTTCAACTGAAATTCCACAGACAACTTATGGTGTTAGAATTGAGATTTTCTGGTATTCAGACAGGGACAATAATGAGTATTAGGAATGAAGATAAAAAGGATCAAGCTAACTTGAACATGACAGTTGTCACATAGTTTCAGAAATTTCAGACATAAAATTAGACAGACCCCAAGCTAAGGGGAGCTGGAAGATGCAATCAAATAATACTACTTGCAAGTGAAAACAAGCACACAAGGAATAATGCTTTGGAAGTGGTTATTCCTGATACACTCTTCTGTGTTGCCCATCAGATTGAAAGACCTAGATAAAATATAATCCAATCTGGATACCTAGAACCCTTAGTAGGTAGCACATGATCCAAATATGTACAACATCTCAGGTCAAAGAATGGATGGAGTTAAAAAGATTACCATCCTCATGCTGGATATCATTTTCTATGCTATCCTCATCCTCATGATCTTCTTGACGGTTGGTGTCCCCATCTTCATCCACCTTTTTCTTTTTCCGCTCCTCCTTCTTCCGCTTCTTCTTCTCCCGCCGTCGAGCAGCTGCTGCCTTTTTGGATTCTTCTCGAGACCTCTCCAGGTCCAGTTCTTCAAGGAGAATGGTGGCATTTTTGTTTGCCTCTGCTGCCTGGCGATCCTTGGCATTGCGTATGACATCCATGCAAGAGGTGCACTTCTTGTGTAGTTCCTGGTTTCCAAAGAAAATATTAAGCAGTTTGCAAGCAAAAGGAATTCAAACAGGAACTCAATTCAAAGGACTTCATTATAAGTAGTTTTCTTTTAATGCCATAACTGCATGCATTCACATGAACTATCTTGCTAGGACAAAATGAATGATCATCATTGACATTTCAATCATGCTGACATCCAATTCAGCAAGCAATCAATCATGATGTAAATTAGTAAACAATCTAGGACAAGAACAATACTGAAAAATTACCATGATTCTCTATTAGAACAGGCACATAGTAATTCCCATTGCATTTACCATTATTACATCTCACCTATGTGTGACACTCCAAACTGAAAACAGCTAAGCAGACTAAGAATGCAAGAAATAATTTATTTTCATGGTAATGCCAGCTCTGATTACTCCTGTACAGGTCATCATATTGGGCTAGTTCATTCAACACTGTCATTTTTTGAGCATGATGTGGTTCAACCCGAGTATAAATTTTTTGCATATTAACACTGAGGATGGATCATGGAGATTTCCATGTTTTCATATATTGGGTTTTCAAATGTCTGATTAGCAACGTTTTAAAATTAATTTCCGAGTATGGTGACACTGGTTTCTTGACTCAATGCAGGCAAGGTAGAAAAAAACATGGGAATCAAAAGAGTCTATTTTTTAAAGGGTTAGGTGATTCCAGCTGTACACCATACTTTACATTTTCAGAGCTTCAAAGTTTTTCAAGGCCATCCCAGCCAATTACTTCTTTCAGGAACAGGAGACAGACAGCACTTTTTGAAAGCAGAGGCTTTGTGTCTTTAGCTAATAAATAGATAATTCCGTTATGGATCCTCACCTTGTCATTGACCGTGGTGATGTATCGGGTGAGTTCTGTGTCTGATGGGAACTGGGTCACATGTTTCACCATCCACTTCACTACTTTGAGGTGACCCCGCCGAAAGGCAGCCATGAGGGGAGAGATCTTTCGATTGTCCTGAGCATCCAAGTCAGCCCCAGCTTGGGCCAGGAGTTGCACCACATCCAGGTGTCCTCCATTGGCTGCTAACCACAGGGGGGAGTTGCCTTTCTTGTTCTTCACTTCAACTTGTGCATTCCTGTTTAGCATTACACAGGACAATTCAGACCTCTGAAATACAACTCATGTTATCCAGTCACAGTGATCATAATCATACTAACCGGTTAATGAGAAGTTCCACAAAGCGGAAGTGTCCTTTGTCAGCAGCTATGGTGAGAGCAGTATCACGGGAAGATGGGACAGGTGCTGCATTGACATCAGCACCCTTATCCAATAATACCCTTCCAACTTCCACATAACCACCACTGGCAGCTTCCATTAGAGGGGTCAAACCAGTCTGAAAGAAAAGTTATCATGAATTAGACAGACAGGTTTAACTTCTGTTAAGGGTATTTCAATCAACCATATACCTTGGCTCGGTGTTCAACATTGGCTCGATAGTCAAGGAGGAGTGAGACGACTTCATGTCGTCCCTGAAAGCATGCTAGGGTGAGGGCAGTGTTGCGATTGGTCTCAATCTGAGCATTGATGTCACTGCCCATCTCGAGCAAGAGTCTCACAGCTGGAGTGTGACCATTCATGGCAGCCAACATGAGAGGGGAAATGCCAAGCTTGGACCCAGTTCGGGAGTTGATCTCAGCCCCATGGCTCAGGAGGAGCTTGATGATATTTGTATAGCCACCTGAGGCAGCCAGGCTAAGCGGTGTGTAGTCAGATACATTTCGGTGCTCCTTGTTGGCTCCCCTGTTCAACAGTATCTCAACAACCTCCATGCGGCCTCCTGAACAGGCCAGTGAGAGAGGGGTGTCTTTGGTGCGCTCAGACTGAGCCTCCATATCTGCTCCTCCATCAAGAAGGATCTCAACAACTCCATGATGCCCAGCTGTTGCTGCCAGAATCAAGGGTGTGAACCCCTTCTTGTCCCGATGTTCTGCAATAATGAGGAATTACATATAGCCTTCAACAACAGCACAAAACTCCAGAAAGTTTCTTGTATAGTAGATGAGTAGTTCATAACCTCAGTAGAGAATATGATGAGAGTATATCTTGGAAAATGCTTAATATTCCTTACAAAATCTGATCACCATAAAGAAAGTTTGATGATAGGTGAAGCTCATTAACCATGACTCATGACTAGGGAGTGGATTTTTATGCAAATGCATATTTTTTTCTGCAGCCTCCAATGAACATGCAACCCAGATAGGATCATGTCTCATTGATAGAGGAAGCCATTTATGCCATTTTAAAAACACATACAAATGCATGTTTCCATGTTTTTTGCATATTTCAGGACCTATTAGCACATAAAAATCTGCTCCCTACTCATGACTTGTGAAAATTTTTTTGATCCTCAATCCCTAAACTATCTATTATCTGAAAAATAAAACTTTGACCTCCAGTTGGAGAAAAATTGTTGGAACAGAAATTAAGATTGTGTAGGGTTCAGATATAATAACTGGTACATACTAATGCTCAATTTCAATGGAAGCTTTTAGAAAATCTACACAACAACTCAGTTGAGTAACTTCAGAGAGGTTCTGTAAGCCAATGGCTCAATGAGAGCAAAGAAAGGAGAGGGAAACATACCGATGTCAGCTCCTCTAGAAAGGAGAAGACTAACGAGTTCTTCGTGACCTCCAGCACAAGCAAGCGTGAGGGCAGTGTCATGATTTGAGTCAGTTTCTGAGTCCAGGTCTACCATGGGGCAAGGTGGTCGAGCAGAACAATATGCACCCGTTCCTCCTCCTCCTCCAGGAGTTGTTCCTCCCCCTCCTGTTCCACTTCCATATGCACCTACATTCACAACATCCCAAACATAGGTATGTATGTATTACTTCATCCATAAACTGTGTCATGCAGGTCTTGAACTAACGAGATTGACAATATTCACCTGATGTCTGGAGTCATAGGATTGTAATGAATTATAATGTATATAGACTGTTAGAATCAACCTGCCTACCTAATAGAATAATGTAATGCCAAATTTATCAGTATATGTTGTGGGTGTACAGACTTTACAACCACCTACCATTATATATGGCAGGAGGATTCAGGAACGAGGAAGACAGTTCCAAGCTAGTATCAAAACAGGGAGGCCCAGTGGTGGATGTGGCTGGGAAGCCCGTCTGAGGATGTTGGGTGGCAACTGACACCCCCTGAGACCCAGACATACAGGTCTGGACCCCTTGGCTCTGCATAGCATCCGACAGCGTTCGTGCCGGGGAAGCAACCATCAAACCTTCCTCACTCTGCTCCTGTGGCCCATTCTCACTTGTCAGTGTCTGCGTTGCTCCTGTACTCACATTTGGCAAGTTCACCAGCCCACCTATGAATAATTTCACATATCAACCAAATAAGATGTAGTCAACAGGATTCTCATTCAACATGCCATCCCACCTGAACTGACTGCTCAAAGGCTTTAGAAAGTATCTTGCACAAAAATGACCTATTATTAACTCAATCACAGAGATCCAGAACTTCCAAGCATTCTCTAATGCATTCTCCTCAAAAACACCATAACACTATAACAACCAGAGTGGTCAATTTGACCATTGTATTAAAAGTAGTATAAAACTATTATTTTGTAACATTTTATTTGTTTTTTTTTTCTTCCAGATGTCATGTTCAAAATGTCAATATTAGACAGGAAAAGTAAAAACTGCAGAGGTCCTTAGTTGCCAAATGAGCAGAGTAAAGTTTGTTAAAAATTGGTGAGCAGTCAAAATGATTGCCCTGGTAGTTAAATGCTTGCACAGAAAAACGTGGCTAGGGAGCAGGACCAGGCCCTTTATGCTTGAAAGCAAGTTTCATAGTCCATTAATACATACAGGAAATCACATTACTACAATAGTTTTTGCACTCCATATTCTTAAGGGAGCCCAGTAGGAAATAGATTCTCAAGGTAATTTCAAGAAAATAAGTTAAAACTGATCCTAACACTAACTTAATTTTTAGTGACAAGCATTCACTTCCATATTAACCAAGCAACTTCAAGTATAACAAGTTGGGCAAGTCCAATCCAGTAATGGGCCTCCTTTCAGCAAAGGAAACCCTCACTTTGTCACATAATTGTAAAAAATGCCATCTCTTTCTGGTCTTTGACCATCAAAAAACTAATTTCTCATTTATATTTGGCAAACATAGACAAATGGTACACATGAAACGATGATGGGAGGATGGATCCAACCAAGCTGTGCATAGTTGGATTCATCCACCACGAAGGTTGGTAGGGAACTGACAGCTCTGGTTGCTGACACAGCACTGCACCCAAAGCCTGGGTTGTACACACATGCATAGTGGTCCAGAACCTTAAGGGCTCACAGGTACTCATGCCTTCCTCTCTGGGGCTAAATTTCAAATCCAAAATTTGCAATAAAAATTCCAATTTTGGTGCAAATTCACCACGAAACGAACTCAGCCTCTATTTTGTTAATATCTACCAGCCTGCCAAATTTATAATTGATCAGGTCAATATTTTTTTGGTACGACAACCTAAGTGTGACACACAGACACACTGACAGACAGGACGGGAACATAAGTGGTCTCTTTCTTTTCAGGAAAGGAGGCCCACTAAAAAAAAACACAGCATTGACATGAGACCATTCCTTTGAGTCATCTTGCAGAATAATTTCTTTGTATTCAAAATTTGCTCAATTTCTAAAAGGCCTTCAACAAAATGAAGAAAATATTAATTTTAGGAGTGTTCCAACCAACCTAATAATCAACATTTACAAAGTTATTCAGTTATTTACATCAAAAGAACACTCAGAGATATTGAGAGGAAAATAATCATGATAGGAAAATAATCAATGTACGATTCTGACAAATGAAAAACTGTTTATTTTTTTAGCACCAAAAATGAGGGAAAGGAGAGGGGAGACAGAAAGAAACATGTTGGAATTGGGATTACATGGTTCTGCCTCCTCATACACAAACAATTGTTATATAAGAGTGGATTTTTGAGGCATTGGAAATTGTTAAAATATTTGGCTTCCACTATCACAATGTAACTTAAAGATTCCATAAGCAGCTTTTCCTTCATTACTTTTAATCTTCACCTAGCAAAACATTGATGCTAGACTACTTACCAAGTTGTGATTGTAAAAGCAGTTGATGCACTGGTTGGGGTTGTTGCTGAATGCCTTGCTGTGGCTGTTGCTGCTCCTGCTGCTGACCCAACACAACAGGCAGGGTAGTTGTTCCATATTGCCAAGGAAGGCTCCCATTGCCCCCAGCCTAGATAACAGAATCAAGTATTGCCTTTAAACAAATAGGAAAACTTTAATGAATCAACAATTATGTCCAATAACTTGCAAGTTGATGGTGTCATAAATTGTTTCCTTCCATAAGTGCTACAACAGACTAATTTGCAGCACTTGATGTGAACCAATAAGTCTGTACTCTATATTATGATGTTCAACATCTTATTTAGGATGCCGAGATGGCATTTTACAGTGGTAACTTTCAAAAAGGACATTTTGATAAGGTTGTCTACAAAAGGGACATACAGGCCACATACAGCCTGTGGACCTACTTATAGCAGCAGCCTGGTAAAGTGTAACGGGATGACATTAAATTAGTTGCTTTGCAGCCCATGGCCCATCACAAATTTGGTCACAAAATAGTTAGAACAAGACTTAAATTAGATTGTGAGTCCTTTCACTTCCTTCCCTGAATCAATCCCCACACCCACAAGTTTAGAAGTGTCCCTATGAAGGCAGTTCTAAATGCCAAGGCTATTTCTGGATGATGGAATTCCCAAGAGGTGGGGAAGGAGTGAGTGTCATTGGTCGATCAGCACAACCTCAAGTCACATGATCTACTGCACATCCTGAAGGCATATGAGGAGAATGAGAACCTATTCTCTTGCATTCAATGAACAGTATTAAGAGTCAGACATTTTCATGTGACCCAGTGAACATAGGTTGCACATCCCTGTTTTATAACTGTTGTTCATGCAAAGTGGACCCCAGATGGTTCATCAGGTCAAGAACATTAAGCACAAGTCTGATGAAATGACTGACCTGATGAATGGTTGATGCCTGAAATCCAGAGAAGATCCCTGATGTTGAGATGGATTGGAATGGGAGAGCAGTGGATGCTGCTGAAGTGCACCATGGAGGTGGAGTTGGGGGTCCTGATGCACTTCCGTTGCCACCCTCCTTTCCTCCTGTTGGAGCAATCAGGGCCCCAGCTGCCACTGTGGCAAATCCTGTTGCTGATGGGAATAAACAAAGTATGATATGATTGTAGCAGAATGACATCCTCTGAGTATGACTTGAGGACAGATAAGCCATTGATGCAATTTTTAAAAGTCTAAATGCAGCTTTGCAGACCTGCATTGCTGTTGGAAGCATCAGGAGTTGCAGATGCAGCACAGACGTGATGGACATGATGATGCTGGCAGGTGCCCTGAGTCACAACCGAAGTAGTTGTCTCTTCATTGGCTCGATTCTCCTTTGCGACCTCCTCTTCACCACCCAATTTCTCTTTCTCCTTCCCCTTCTTCCTCTCCTTCTTAGTTGAAACTTTGGTCAATGAGGTCTTGTTCCCTTCACTGGGTTTCCCTTTCTCCTCAGAGCATGACACACAGACAGAGCCTCCCCCCTGACTCTGCTGAGTGTATGCCAACTGTTGCTCCACCTGAAGAATGAAACCGTGCAAATGAGCTCTTCTCAACTCCTTAATTACCAAGTTTTAAAATTCAATAAGTATGAATGAACCTGTTGCTTGAAATGCTTGATTTGTTGTTGCAAGAGCTGCTTCTGTCCAAGGATTTGTTGAACCATTTGCTGGATTTGGCTGGCGGTGGCACACCCATTGGTCCCGTTGCTTGATGATGAGGGTGTTCCTGTCTCTCGATTTCCCATACTGACTGTGATTGGACCATTGGCTTGAGCAACAAGATGCTGCTCAAGGGCCTGAAGTTGCTGAACATTGGCTTGCAGAGCGGCCAACTGGGCCTGATTTTGGGCAGCATTCTGCTGTAGGGCCTGAAGAGCTGCAACATTGGCTTGCTTCAACTGACGCTGATGGAGTACCTCACGATGGAGTTGCTGATTGAGTTGTTGCAATTGCTCGAGTTGCTGACGTTGAGACTGCAGTGAAAAGTAGTGGGAAGAAGAACTAGCATCCTTGGTTGATGCAGGACCACCACTTCCACTAACTGCCTGTTTCTTCACCGCACTCTTCCCACCTTCCTTCTTCCCTCCACTACTTTTCCCCTTCCCACTTCCACTTGCACTTGGGTTCGGCACTATCACAGACTCCCGTGTCTGCAACAGGACTCATTGTAAAAAGCTCCTTGGTTGATGCATGACAAATTCAGAGTGGAAAGGGAACTCACCTGGGTGGCCTGGTTGCTGGATGATGTTGGGATTTCAGAGGCATTGCCATTTGCACTAGGGACATAAAGATGAGGGATGGAGATGGATGGGGGAGGAGGAGGTGAAGGCATTGGGGGTTCCACAGTGCATCCCCCCTTCCCTGCACTCTGGGCCTGAGCTTTCTCCTGAATCTCTCTTTCCACTCGCTGCAAGAAATCAAACACTCGGTGAGCATACACTGCAAAACAAATCATACTCAAGAAGGTCGTCATCCTGGCCGAATAAGTGTGTGTTTCTGCTTCATGGGCCAATACCTGTAGTTCTTCTAAGATTTGCTGCTTCTGGAGAATCTGTTCCTCTGGGTTCCTCTGCTCAGCTGAAGCCATCAAAGATTTGATGTAAGCATCCAGTTTCTCCACACTTGCACTGTCCAATGCCTCCAGCTCTCTCTCTGTCAACTGGAATGGAAATTATCCATGAGAAAGTGTCTGTCAGTATCAACTGTTCAGATGGGGAGGGATACTCACAGCAAGTTCACTGCCACAGAGAGAAAGATTAAGGTTTAGACTGACAGCAGCAGCTGTCTTTGGATCAGTGGGGACATCACTGAGGGACACGCTTCGTTGCTTTCCAGATGGACGTGAAGAACTCTTGCTTCTCTCACCACAGCTCTCACCTCCTCCACCTAATTGGACAAATTCTTAAGTAAAGAGATGGCATCTTTGGCATCTTTCAAGGCATTGGAAAGAATGCTTACCAATCTCAGAAAGGTTGATGTTGGCATCAATGAGGGGAGGCGTAACCATCCCATCAGGATTCATGCCCTGAGGGAGCAAGCGTAAGGCATCTGCAGCTGACATCCCATCTCCATCAACCGGTGGAATCATGAGAGAGTTAGGGTAGTCTATGAGGAGTGTGACCACATTCGTGTGTCCACCTTTGGCTGCCTCGATCAGCATGGTGGCATTGTCCTGCAGACAAAATTTTTTTCTTCAGAAATTGAGTCATAAAAAATCTAATTTATTAGTTTAAAAAAAGCATTGGCTACAAAGCCAACCCAATAAATGATAATCAATTACTCAACCCAGGATGATCAAACCATGAACTAACTGTGAGTTACACATGAATGAACTCTGATACAACCCTCTCCTGAAATTTAAAAAATCCTGAAAAGGCAAAATGATTCCAATGGCTTTGAATCAACTTTTAAGCAATGTTCTTTCAAAAATGTTACTTGAGGGGAGAGGGGCAATTCCCCCCACTGTTCCACTTACCCTGCATACCTCACAGAGTACCACCAGAAAGTTTGAGGCAGGTTGCAAAAATGATTCTTTTTAAAATAAAAAAAAGGACCAAGAAAATGTAATGCTCTTTTTCAGACAAAATGTAAATGATTACTCATGGTATTTATTAGGCAAAATTGTTTTTTTGTTTGTTATTTTTAAATGTTTTTTAAAGACTTGTGAAATTTTCCCACCTGCCTCAAACTTACTGATGGTACAGTAAATACCTTTTTCTGCAGAACTGAACTAAGCACTTCCTTGAAGTAGTATGAATATAAAATTCCAAATAATTCAATTTGCCAGGGTGGCCTGAGAATGCCTTTATGCAATCCCCACTGGTAACTTAGGCAGGGATTGGATGAGATAGAGAGAAGATATACAAACCTTGAGCTTATGGTATGGGTCTGCTCCATTAGCAAGGAGGAGCTCTACAACTGGTAGATGACCCCCAGAGCAGGCCAATGAAAGAGGGGTGTGGTCATTTGAGCTTGTTTGCTTGTTAACAGATGCACCCTGTGAGATGAGGAATTCTACAGTTGAGAGATGACCAGCCCGAGCCGCCTTCATCAATGGTGTCCTTCCTCCATCAGCCTCATGCTCCAGAACTGCACCATGCTGGAGGAGAATGCGTACCACCTCCAGGTGTCCATTCTCTGCTGCATATGACAAGGCTGTGTCTGAGGTGGTGGACATGGCATTTACATCTGCTCCCACCTGGATCAAGTACCTGTAAGAGTGAAGAGAAAAAAAGAAATCAGCACTTAAGAATGCATGAAGGGGAAGAGTGATAATGAACCTTGAAGTGTATTTCATCTGGTAATGTAACTTTCATGGGATGATTAAAAATGGGAAAGCTAACCATAATATCTAATAGTTTGAGCTTCAAAAAAAGAATTGATTCATGACAAAAAAACTAAAATTCTGGATTCTCAATTTATGTATCATGCAGTGCTACAGAAATGTCATATTTTTCTTTAGAACATTCTTGCCAGAAACATCATTAGCCATGGTCAAGGCGAGAATGGACCAAAGTGTGGGTGCGATGCAAATGTCTTATAACTCATGGATGTTTCCTTCTATCCTTAGCATCTTCCAGCTCACACTAATCAGGAGTTCTCAAATCACAACTCTATTGCATGCCCTGGAAAGGTATTACCTATTGGACATATATGCCCCATGGCTGTTTTTAGAGGCCATCTCCATTGCTGCAGGCAAGCCCATGGGACCATGCCAACTCTGATGTTACTCTTCCAGCCTTGGTCACATGTCCAGCAAATATCACAATCAAACTCGCATGACCCAAATCCAGATGCAAAATTTTGATTGGATGCAGTTGTATCTGTATTTTCTTATTTAATTTCTGTAAGTTAAAGGCACCCTATAGAGATTATACTGTCTGACTCCAACTTGAATTAGGCTTGCATGCCTACACTCCATGATTTGGGGCATAAGTGAATAAGCCACTTAAAATTTCATAATGAATAGCCTGTCATTTATGCTTTGGATGACTGAAACACTCCTGAAAGAACTTTCTGGCAGATGTGACACTCAAACGTAACAACATAGGTAAGTCTCAACGAGTTTTTCAGCTTTCTCAAGATGTCCTCAATATCATGTTTTTTGTCCTAAAGATTTCTTAAAGAAAGATTTCTTTTGTCTATCCACATCAGTTGAAACTGACTTGACAAGTTCAAGATGTCCTTCCTGAGCAGCTTCCATGAGGGGAGTGGAAGCCCCGAGTTCCAGGTCAGCACCAGCTTTGATAAGGAAATCAGCAACCTCCACAAATCCTCCACAGCATGCTAATGTGAGTGCAGTTTCTTGAGTCTCATCTGTTAGTGCATTGATATCAGCACCTGCAGACAGTCACATATAGCAACATATTACATCTCAACAGCAGAAGCATGAACCAAAACAAAAATGGGACAAAGCAGTGCCTGAAAACCTTGTTTAGGCTTAAGTATTCCAATGTCCAGGTATTTGTTGCTTTATTTTTTCAATCTCATCTTCAGCCCTTCACCTTGCACTACTCTATAAAATAGGTCTCAGGCAAACAAACCTTGGCTAAGAAGGAAGGCAACCATTTCCTCATGTCCCTCACGTGCAGCCTCCATAAGGGGGGTGTAACCCTCATCATTCACCTCTTCAATATGAGCTCCTCTTTCAAGAAGGAGCATGGCAAGTTCGACATGGCCCCCACATGCTGCCAATGTCAATGGACTCTCAAAGCTGTCGGCAGGCATGTTGACCTGGGCTCCAGAGTCCAGCAGCAGGCGTGCCACTTCAACATGTCCATCCATGGAAGCCTCCATCAATGCTGTGTGCATCTCATCAGTTTTGTGCTCCTGAAACATGACATGCACAAATTCTAGGAAAAACTCTTATATCACAAAATAACTTCTAACAGTATTTAAATGCATATAAAATTCAAAAGTAATTCAATATTAATTCAAACAAAAATAAGAGGAAAAAATAATGAACTCAATCCTGCAATGGTAAACATTGAAAATGCAAGAGCTTGGGGATGATACTGGGTGAGTTGCTCACCTGATTAGCCCCATTTTCTAGGAGAAACTTGACCATGGGTAGATGTCCTTTGTAGCAGGCCAAGGTAAGGGCTGACTCCTTGAACTCATTTGAGTGGGTGTTGATGCTTGCTCCATGCTCTAACAGTATCTACAAATCCAGGACAGTTCCATGAAATATAAACCCTTACTAAACTCATGTAAGCTGAATCACAAGCCTCACCTTGGCACAACCAACATGTCCTGCTGATGCAGCTTCCATCAGAGGTGTGTGGCCATTCTCATTGTGATCTTCAACATTGGCACCAAACTTGAGAAGATACTTCACAACCTGCTCATGCCCATTGGCACATGCAAGCATGAGGGGTGTATTCCCACATGAAGACTGAGCATTCACATCTGCACCATGATGAATAAGGAGCTTAACAATGTCCAGGTGACCATTCATTGCCGCTTCCATTAGCGGAGTATAGTCACCCTTGATTCCTCGGTCTTCGACGTTGGCACGCATGGCTAAGAGCATCTGTGACGTCAACAACACATGCATACATTTATGAATGTTCACATTATTCATAATATTCTTCAAAAAAGAACAAAACACTCACCTGAGCCAATTCGTAATAACCAGAAGCACAGGCAAGACTCAATAAGGTTTCACCACTGTCACTGGTCTCGTTGATACTGCGTCCTTCCTCCAGGAGACGTCGTACTTCAATCAAATCTCCTTCAGTGCAAGCTTCAGCTAGACTCCTGTTGAAACCATTAAACCTCTCAACAAAACTCAAAGTAAACAATTCCAAGGCTTCACGCAAAAAATCCACTCAAAGTAGCACCACACAGCAGAATGTAGCTTCAATAAAGACATTAGCATGACTTTCATGCAAGACATGACAAATCTTACTACACAGAAAAATCAATGAACATCCTCTACAGTAGACCTGCTTTGCCTAGTGGTAGCTGAATTTGCTTTTAATACACCAAAGCATTGCTATATGCTATATAATTAAAATATACCACCTCCACAAACCTCAACTTTTGAGTTACAGAAAGCTGAAATTAATGGTAATTGAATTGGTTAAAAAAAAAACCTTTCCACCAAGCTGAACTGAGGAAAGAAAGAAAAACAAGCTAACACCAAACTCTAAATCCAACAAACTTTAAGGCAGTCTTGTGTTTCATAAGGCTCAGTGAATTTGAAAATTCACCGAGTTTATGAAACACAAGACTGACACAACTTTGTATGATGGATGTAACTATATATCAGTTTTTGTCTCAATAATTTCCACCACTTCCCTCTTCCATTGACTTCCCATGATTTGAATAGACAAGTTTCAACTTTAATAAAAACACTCCAGAGAATATAGCTACATGGGGGTATGACCAGTAAAAAATTAATTTGCATGGCTTCAGGTTTCAAGTTTTTCCATTGGAATCCTCAAAATGTAGAAACAACAATAATGAAAGGTGTAATGAACTACAATGAAGATCTACAGGTACACTTGCACATAAATAGTATTTTCTGAGAAAGAGAGACTCATATCCACTAGCAAACTGAAAGTTCATAAAAAAAACAATTTCTCAATCACACATAAGAATTGGCAGCAGAGGAAGACATGAAGCAGGGGAGAGAGGAGGGGGAAGATTAGGACTTCGAGATGTTGCTGAAGAGGAAACATGGTAGAGGGGGAAGGGACAGGGATGGATGTAAGCCTCCAGGGTAATCTGCACCTCTACCACCTTCCTATACCACCAATCCAGCCAACCAGGTTCATTATAATGCACCTGTCAGAGGATTCACTTCATCCAATAGACCCACCTGCTGGCAGCGTCAGATGAGTCAGTGCGCATGCGAGTCAGAGCTGCAGCCGCTTCGTCCAGCGCACACGAAACACTGGAAGTGAGTCGACGGAGGACTTCGGGGTCGTTCAGACCTTTCCCGTCTGGTGATACCTTACGGATACCTGCAGGAAAAAGTATAACTGTCATTTCCCAGCATCAATGGCAGTTTGACATCAGCAATGTCTACAATTTTCATTCCATATGCCAAACCATGATCAGATTATGCAAGAGGTTCACATTGTCAACAATATAACATTCCTGAAATTTCCAATAAAAACATATCTGCAGTTTCCATAGCATGGGACTTTGCCCAGATGTAACAACTATATGGAAGCCTATATGAGACTGAAATCATTCCTGGGGCTGTTTTCATGAAAGTGACTGTTTGGAGCTTTTAACTATAGTGACTTGATGGATTGATACTAGCACAAGCTCACAATGAATTTCCCAGCTTCCCCAGCTAAGAGCAACATGTAAGGGTTCTTGTGGTGTCAGAGCCAGACAAGGGAGAAATAACTATAAAAGCAAGGCCAACATGAGCCCATAGCATTCCATTCAACAGAAGAGGAATGGACAGCTGAAAAAAAAAAGAAATTTCAGCTTCTCAAAGCAAGAAAATGCAATGGATAGCTGTTACCTCACTTTAACCCTTCAGGTAGTTTTCACATGCACCGTACAATCGTTATTTAACCCTTTCCCTGGCACATGGCAACAAATTCTACATAGTCCAGACAGGTCTTTACCCCACAAAAGTTCCAAAAATGTATGCCAATACATTTTATTTACAGCAAGCAAACCAAAATACACAACAAATTGAAATTTTCACCATACATAGAGGATTTATTCTATTTTACATTGATAACACTTCACTTTAATACCAAAGAAGCACTCATAATTTTTCTTTGTGTGATAAGTGCTAAAGCATGAAATTTTGCACAATGATGCACAGTTGTGTGCAAAGTGCAGAAACTCAGAAAATATGCTGAAATCATCCAAGCAACATCTGTTGCCCATATCACAGAGTGTAAAACATTTCCCAAGTAGACAAGTAGTCCTCAATTTTTGAGGCGTTTATCTATGCATGTTATGAAAACAAGTGTCGAAATTTCATCTTCACTTCTCTGTAATTTGTCTCTAGGCGAAGGGAAACAGCTGATGGTTTCACAGGTACTGCCTGCATTACTAGTTTGTCTCCACCAGGAGTTTAACTAGTTCCAATGTCAAAAAAATGTTTAGCCACCAAAAGAAAAACCTTGAGTTGCAGAATTGGTTCATTCCATTGTCACCTCTACAATCTCCAATGATATCATATGTCTTGTTTTGTCCATTAAGCACATGGTCCTGGTGCTGCTGCCACGTCTGACTCATCACTATCATTATCACTTTCATCAATCACCTCCAATGTGTTACCAAGTTCTACGTCTTCATTGCCAAAGATCTCAGGGATCCTATGATTGTTGTCACTATCACTACCCGCTGCTACTTCTCCAGAAATTTTCTCCTCGGTTACCTCATGGACCCTCTTCAAAGGCACAATATTGGACAGGGTGACAAAAAAATTCTTTTTTTTTCCCCTTTTCAGTTGTGGAAAGTGAAAATACCTATCCAATATATCTGCCTGAGATCAAGATAAACTATCGATCTATTGCCAAATTCTCTTGGTTGAGAACTTTTATTAGATGGCAAGAGCATTGAGAATGGAGTTCTGCAAAAGACCCCAAAGTATGCCTAAGCTGGACACACCCACTCCAAGGAAAGGGTTCAGAGGTCAGGCCAAAGCTCAGCTCTGTTAATCGGCTTCACCATGACAGGAAGGTAAGTATATTCATACTGAAGAGCCCTAATTTCAATAGTGGAACCTGCATAATTGGCAAGCCAAATATTGCCAAAATTGAAACCCACCAATATCAAGAATGGTGGCTTAAAGCCAATAACATCATGACATCTTTTAAAACACTCCAAACAAGAGTGGCACAAGAGAGATCACTTAGCTGTCAACATAGGAGCTTTTCTGTAAAGCCTGAAAGGAGAGAAACTTTAATATAAGTTGGAACATTTTCTTTAATACTTTGTAGATCTTTAGGAGATAATCATATATATAGCTGAGCTAAGGCAAGATCACAATGCTCAGCAGTTCCAATTTTGTTTTTAAATTCCTACACAAAACACTTCATCCTATAAGTACAAACAACACATTGAGAAGTACAAAGTGTGCACATACCAATGAATGACTTCATTTTTCATGTCAATTAAATATTCAACTTTCAATTTTTTCAGTGATCTAATGAGGCAAACCTTGTTTGCTAGATGTTGAACTTAGGTCTATTCAATCTGCTGGCTGTATCATCCTTTGGTATTTCCATATACTTTTTTTCTGCTATAGGACATTAGGAGGGGACTGAAACTAAAAATATGCAGCTCTCTTTTAGAACTGAATGGAATTGGAAACAGGTTGGGCTAAGGTTCCAGTCTGAAAAGTTATTTCCAGTAAAATATTACCTAGATATTACATGATAAGAATTAAGCAGAACCTGCAGCTTCCAGAAAGGCCTCGAGCTTGGCTTGAGTTTCTGGATCCACAGGTGGGAGCTCCAAGAGGTCAACCGACTCACTGCTTGCAGACAGGAGGAATTTGGCAGATCCTTCTCGAAAATCCCCACGTTCAAGGCCTAATGTAAAGGACTCAACCTGTGGAAAAAGTAAAATATGCCACAATTGCAAAACAAGGTCAAAAGCCAGTACTACCTATTCCTATCTCCTAGTCTATTTCCTGAGTTGATCCTAAAATTGCATTATAAGATCTTTTTCTTGCACCACCTGGTTCAGCATCTCTTATGATTCTCTTTTACCTAATAAAGTTTTTTTTCCCCATTCGTGGTCTTCATGTAGAAAACTACTTGTCATTAAAGGGAATAAACTCAAGGCAACTCATTCCCTCACTGAAGGTAATTACTCATAAGCCAATTTCAGGAAGGAGTGAATCTTAAGGTGACCCAGTACTGGGCAACAATCAAGAATAGGTGAAGATTTGAGTCAGTGTCCTGCCTAAGATGGAGCAATGGCTTGCCATCCTTTCTATCTGGAGGAAGAAGGAATATGATTCACAGTTTGTGGACCCAATTACATGAGGCTGTGAGCATTTTTCACCTAGGAAGCAATCTATGCTGAACATGCCTCAAGGAATTGACTCCATCCATGTAAGGCTACCTTTACAGATGTTTCACTCCCTCCTTGCCTTTCAGTTTTTCCATTGAATTAGATGCATCCCAAACCAAAGTGAAGTGTGAATACATTAACCCTAGATGCAATCAATCAATGGCTCACATGTCACAGGATTTAACTTTGCTGCATCTAAGGAAAGGAATGATTTTTTATCAACTCACACCCATGAAAATTACAGGGGAGTATATTTCTCAATTGCCCTGAATAAGTTGTTTCTGTTCGCTCACCCTGCAGGGTGCACAAAAATGAAATTTTACTGATGATAAATGAAATACACCCAAAGTTTTATGGATGAGACTCATTCATACAATTTAGGAATTATTCCCACCCAAACAGGCACCACAAATGTCATGAGAAAAAACATTCCCCCTTGCAGGGGAGGGGGTATCTGCCAGGCAATGTCCTGTTATCCTGACTTCACCCATGCTCAAAGATGTCTCTGCCCTAAGAAATAACCTAGGACAACTAAATCTTTAAATCAAAGTATCCAAGCCAATATGTTGAGTTCACAAACATGGAAAGACAAATGAATTATGCATGTGTCAATAATAATACATACTATTTTGCCAATGCAATTGCAAATAATAATTAGAGTATGCACAAGAATTCTGTTTAAATGATCTTCAATATAAAATTAAAATAGTCCTGTCTTAATACAATCAGTTTGATATGATGAAATGTCCAAAATACAGTCCTGGATGAGGATTTGGAAATGCCTTATGGATATCACCCCTTTATCCCTTTCCCCCTCTTCTAGTAGTTAAAGCCTATAAGCCCAACCCACTTATCCAGGATAGAGGCTATAAAAGGTGAGGAGGACATGAGAAAGGACACCAGTGAGTCAAGGGGACCAAAAAAGATTATCGTCCTCCTCTCCAAGCTCTCACCATCTGTTGCTCTCCCCTCAAGGCTAAATTCTCATTCACTAATGATGGCATGATGAAAATCAGTTATCAAAATGTTCACACTCCTGATAAAGCAGCAAAATTCTCAGTTATCATTGAAAGACAATATCCTACTCCCTGTGATTTCAATTCTTGCATGTTGAGTCAATGATGAGGAATTTCTTTTTCCCTCACTACCAGTGAAGCTCTATGGCTGAAGGAGGAGAGCTTTGAACTCTGGATCATAGGCAACAAGGATTTGCACCCTAACTGACTTACTTTGGTATGAAAGTAAAAAATAAATAGGTAAATTAATTAATTAAAATAAAATTGAGGTTTCTTCTAAATGTAGCCATTCTTCCTGGGGGTTTTCATGGATATATATTTCTTCTTTATGCTTCTATGGGGATAACCAGATGAGCACAATAAGCAAGATGTGATTTAATGCATGCCAAACCAGGTTTAGGCAAAAAACTGGAAACTTAATAAATGCATATTAAGAATCAAACTGGCATTTTTTAAATAGAATCTATTCCAGAGCATCTCTCTGTAACCATTTCCCAAATGAAGGTAGCCCATGAGTAGGGCATCCTGCAGCAATTCCCATAGTCATCTACTATAATTATTTCATTTATAAATAAGACTGACTTGTACATTTCACAACTTTCTTTTCTGCTCCATGCAGAGTGCCATTCTTTACTAAGACCAGATCTTCAAAAAATACTGAAGAACATAATTTGCAAAGCAAAAGGTACAAGAACAATACCTCCATAAAGATTCATATCATTGATACTCTTCATGCAGCTAACTCCCAGTTTTTTATTCCAATGGTTTCAATCTTTCTCATGCTTGTTACAAGCAAACTCAACTGGAAAGCTTTCAAAAAGTCTAACTCATTAACTGATCATATTGTATCTTCAGGGCATGCAGCTAAATATGAAGCACAACAGAGTGGAAGCAATATATGCAGCAAATCAATGAGAATATACAATTTCATGCAGGCAACAAAAATGAGTCCTCGGCACAAAAGAAAAATTGAATATAGTCCTTGTATTCAGGGCTGCCCTTTTCCTTAACCATGCATACCTCAATCTTTAGGATATCTTCAGGACAGGACAGCATGGAAATGATGGGACACATTCAACTATTTCAAAACACCAGTCCCACTTGGTTCTGACAGTATGTGTTATGTTTTACCTTGATCCTACAAGCAATACAGCATTAAATTCCCATACCCTCCCACTCCTGTAGTATCCATGACCCCCTCTGTACATCTTTCATGGGATATCTGGGGGCAATAGAGCTTGCACCAAACTGTCCTTGATTTTATAAATTTATCTCATCCTATGCAATACTGGCACTGGTTAGGTTCCCATGGTAGGTAACCAGGCCTTACAAAAATCAAAATCCATTTGAAAAAATCTGGCCTGGCCATACCTTATTTAAAACTGAGTGTCATTACTTCCTTTGTGAATGTTGACCTATGCCTATGGCTGGGTCATTACATACTAGCATGCATATGTCTGTAACCCCTTTGATTTCCATCATGTTCAGGTATTTTTTCACTCACAGATTAAACGTTCCAAGTAACACGTTGAAAATGCCTCCCTTGATTATAGAGATGCCAGATACACGAGGAACAAATGCTACTCTTCACCACTACCATTCAGAGTGCTGATCAAGACTATACGCTTTCTCCTGGCCAAGGACTGGAGTAACACTTTTTGTCCATCATAGCATTTTGCGTCTAACGTTAGGCCTAGTCGCAACCTAATGACGGCATTTCTCACCTCAGACACGTCTTCCTCTTCGCTTTCGGACGTGTCACGGGGATCGGCCATAAATTTATGACTCCACCTTCTCGGGTGGTCAGGCCGTAAGGGTGTAAACTTAACCCTAGGTCCCTTCCTTTTCTTCGCGTCTTCTCTCTCGTGCTGAGTGTAATCGGGTGCTTCGACGTCGAGCCTGAACTCAGCGGGTAGTTGCGTTTCGTCCGTATTTTTCCAATTCACCAACACACACGAATCAATACAAGTATCTTCACAGGCTTCCCCGTCGGCATTCTGCATTGTTCTCCTCGTTCTCCATCAGTACTGGCAGGGATATTCTTTTCACGACTGAAGACCTGTCACGCAAATGCAACATCGACACCCGCCATACTTGTTCCCTGATTCACAAGATGTCCGGATGAAAGGCTGTCATGTAGAGACATCTCTCGGCCCTGAACTGAAGTCTCCACTACGACTGCGCAGAAGTGGCGGGTCAGACCGGCGGCAAAGCGGGAGTGTGCTCGGTACCCCACAATATAAGGAGTCTACGGACCGCGGGCCAATCTCGGTGACTACAATCTCGCGGTCTTGCTCCTGAACGCTGTGATTCCGTACAATACTCCCGGATCCCAGTCCCATCTGTCCGGGACTGATTTTAAAACCCCTATTCGGTTCCATTTCCAATTCAGTTATAGCTACAGGAAAGATTTCGTTGTAAGAGTAATCGGTATGAGTACAGAGGAACTCCAATCACACCGTTGTCGTCGGGAAGTCAACGCAGCATCCAAAAACTTAGGCCAGATTGGAGTTCCACTGTGTATCGACAACTCTTTCAATGAAATTTCAACTATGACTCGCAGAACTGGATATGAAACCAAACTGTCGCTTTGAAATCAGATTCTTGCAGTACTCCATGGCAAAGACCTGCTCTATTTTCTTTGTTTCCCCAGTTTTCTTAGTGGTCTATATCAGATTTCTATAAGAGAGGAAGACACTTGAGTGGATTATGTCCCCAACATTCAGCAAATAGTGCTCTTTCGCAATTTCCGTCGTGTGGTGCAATTGGCTTCCATCAGTATCTACTTCTCAAACACAGAAGGTACCATTTTACTACACATTGTCTGCTGGGGAACACCTAGAAGCATATCATGAAACATAGCAATGCTTCCTTGAAGCAATACTTGAGGCGCTGCATCTAAGTGCTGCCTAGTACCAATAGGTGCTCTTGCGTACAAATAGATGGTACAAATAGACGACAACAATCGATATCAATTAGTACCCCGTCTGTCAGGCTTAAATGGAAACAGTGCTGTAACTGGTTCTGCAAGAACATGTATTCAGAAGTTAATTTGATGAGAAATTATTATCGGATGTTTCGTTTAACATCTAGAACGATTTTTCATTATTTTTTTCGAATCACAAGTGATAATTTTGCATTTGAGGCTTTTCCTTTTAGCAAACAGTTCGAATTTACGCATAAAAATAATGCACTACGTGAATAAGAGAAACATGTTCAACAACGTCTGCAACTTCAGAGAATATGACGTCATTACACGGTGTGCGTGGCCAATCGTTCTATACCAGCAAATGGCTTGCAATAATACACCAGATATGTGGGTGTTCCCATGATTATAGTGTGCATTTGGGCAAATATCTATCTATATTCTGTCTGCCCTTCAAATACATATGTAATTTCTGGAGACTTCCTTACCTCCCAATTGACAACGTCAGATGAATTTTGTGCCTAACGATATAGATTCGATTGGTGGGCAGGGGGAGTGGGGATAACCTGGCGAGGAATTCTGATCAAAAGAGCAGGAATATGCGATGAGTATAATTCTGCACTTGCTGGTTTAGACGAGTCAGCCTGATTTGCCCGCATAGGATCCAAAGCACGAGTGCCAATCGAACTTGCGGTTAACCCGATCCGAACTGCAACCGTGCCAAATCTAAATGCCATATACTGGCCAATGCCGTTCCTTGTTCATAAAAGAGGATAATGAATCCCCTGGGGAAAATTTCCAGGACAGTTTTATGTCTTACACTTAATTGCGTCGGCTCAATGCAACCGCCTATCTCAGTCTCTGCCTTATTATTCATCTACCATCACAGTTGCTCGTAAAACCATGCCCCATTCTCACAGATGCATACATAAAACTAAATAAATAAATTCAGGCCATTTGCGCAAACTGCCCATAGTCCCCATCCAGGAGCAGAAGCAAAAAAAAATAACTTTATGAACTAATATTTTAAAAAGTTGAGCCTATCCAACATGGCCCGCAGAGGCTTCTCAAAATTTCGGCCGGTAAGCCCCCAGCGGGTCGGGCCAAACGGGCTTGCACGCAGCCCAGGCTAGGCGTGGTTATGTCAAGCTAAATGAATTAGTGTCTTTTTTTTTTCAAGACAATGTCTTCATACTCAAGCAAAAAAGAATCATTCCCGTTGCAGTGTCATTGCAAGTCATGAAGACATTCATGATTTCAGTCATATTCCCTTCCCGAAGTCCAGCAGTGGGGGACGCCATGACACCGAAACGACTTCCCGGCAGATTGCTGAATAAAAAGACAGAAGTTTCCCAATCCAGGTCACCCAAGGTTCAGAGCTCAGTCCCAATCAAGCAAGGCTTTCTTTACCAATTCAGAAACTCCTTTCCAATTAAAATTGCTTTAGGACCAGGACTACTCTAACTTGAGTGTTAGGCCATCTGGAAACGTATAAGAGCAAGGCCTGCCAATCAAAGGCCGCCACTAAGACTGAATGTCATGTCAGTCTAAGCCTAGCCCCTCAGTGAAAGATTGGCATATGGTGTGTTACAACGCAACGGTAAGCGCATCCAGGCTATAACGTGAGAATCAGTACAGGACTGCAGATTTCTTCCATTGAGGCTGAGCATAGGCCTAACGCGCAAGGTATCGGCTTGCCCCGTTTTAGTATTCTCAAGACCCTCCAGGCACCGAGACAGTATTTTCTATGCTCTTCCCAAAGTGTAACCAACATTTTAGATTGGCCGCTTGTGTAAATATTGACAGCAGGCCTAGATCTGCAGTTCAATTTATCTTAATGTTAGTGTTCAATGGCGTCAGATGGTTTTCTTCACTCTACTCAATGAGATTTTACATTTTATGCATCATCATTTGAAAGTTTTCATGCTCTTAAACCTTTAAATCCCATGCCGGAATATACTTGTGGTATCTCTGCTGGCGCCTTAAGAAATTCAGGAGTTAAAGGGTTAATGATCTAACTGGAGGTATTTTTACTCTGAATTTATTCAGCATTTAATGCAGACTAAGGTTAATTCAATGTGTTGCTCCTCTGAATGTATTATATCTTCATGGAGAATATGATTCTGACTTCAAAATGAAAATATTTAGATAGCATAAGCAAAGAGATAGGCAAATTAGAATATTGTCTGCCAAATTTTGAGCTATATAGGGTCCCTGCTGAATTCTTTTTGGTAGCTATCATGGACATATTGTCAGTAACTTAGAAGTTACTGATAATATGATAGGATGGGATAGCAAACACGAGAGCTTTCAATGTGGATCAGCTAACCTTAAATCAAATTATATAAAACTCCCTGTAACATCATCTGGCAAACATAATATCTCATCTTGGATGACTCAATTTGGCCTGAAAGGTTACTCTGGGGATACACTATCCAGGTTCAGCCTTTACCACAAAGGCTTTTTAATGTCCTGCATTTGGAGATGGGAGTGTTTTGTGCTCTGGTATTTCTCACCCCAAACATGTGAAGATTTGCTCTCCTAAGTGAATGCCTAACTTGGTTTTGAACCTGAGGTACCACCCATGGGAAATGAAACCACTAGCACTTTAGCCACTCACCTTCCCTAAAATTAAGTAAAATTAAAGATTTATTGTAAATAAAAAAAATTGAATTGATAATCTTGAAGACCAGTGGTTTTAAGGGGGTTCAGGAATGATCTAACAACTTGTCTTTCCAATGTCACCTAATAATTGAAAGCTTTATCATGTCATCAGAAGAGATAAATTGTTCACAACACAAACCTAAAGCAATGTGGAACATATGACAATTTTTCCAGGACATCATTTGGGTTCACACACACACACCTCTATGCACAGGGTGCCCCATAATTGTCTTAACCATTTCAAAGGCCAATATTTTCCAAATTACAGGGAGCATGTTGATACAATTAGCATCAATGGATGGCTGACTATTCAATTTTTTACACAACAAAACCCTGAAATTGTGGCAGAATTGAATTTTCATTCGAGATCTCGAAGCAGGTATTGCTCTTTGGAGACTTTAACATGCCAAAAATAGATTGGTCGGTGCCGCAAGGGGGGGTGCG